TTGTATCCGGATACAACGTTTCAGTATCGATACTTTTGACAACCCTACTGGTTTTATACAGTAAGCCAACAAAGCCTTGCTTTTGTTTAGAAAACATGCAAATTGAAATGGATGAACGGGTCCCCCCCCTTTGGAATGGGGGTCGTTTGGCCCCATACCTGTCTGTGTCTCTGAAAGGGGGGGTCGTTAGAGGGAATTGTTGGCCTGGCTGAATAGGCGAGGTCTTCTGATCCCCTGTAAGGGTTGGGGTTGCGATGATTGCGGGAAAGGATCAACTTAACTTCCAATTTTCACCAGCAAACCTCAAAGTCTTCCTTCCTCCGTCCAGCGATGTTCTCTTTCATCTCCCACTGAAAACATCGTTAGCAAAGCTCTGCTCTCCCCTCCAGAGGAGCTGGATGGTTTCCCAGAATCACTTTGAAGCCGGCTGATAGTCTTCATCCATGGCCTCTCCTCCTTTCCTTATATTTCTGCCTTTTACTTTTTTTTTTTTTTTTTTTCACTGATTAGATTTTTTTTAGATGGTATACATATCTGTTTATTTTATTTTAGTATTAATTAAACTTTATTAGGTAAATGATTGTCAACTAGCTCTTCATTTTTACCGTTCTTACACTTTACGCTTTCTGTTTTTCAGTGAACTTTAATCTTTTTGGTTTTTATTGTTCCTCTTTTTGAGTAAAAAAAAAACAACAGATATTTCTAAGGATGTAGTTTATGAATTCAGATCAGCTCTTCTCGTTCTGTTCAAACATGGCCTCCATGCATCCATTAATAAACAAATGAAAGTCAATATTTTGTAATAAATAGCTTCTTTGTTTCTTATTTGTCATGTAATAATGGATTATTGTTGTTTTCAGGGTAAGTTCTGGCAGACGATGGGTTTCTCTGCAGAAGGAAAGCAGTATCTCCTCCCTGAAGAGGCTCTCTACCTGATGGAGTGTGTGAGTATCACTCGTTATTTCACTAATGTGTCGGAGGAGTTTCTTCCCCTCCTGACTGAATGTGTTTCTGGATGCAGGGCAGCCTGCTGGTGTTTAATCAGGACCTGCCGCTGTCCATCCAGGACGGCTATGAGATGTTTCTGTCTGCAGACGCTGTCAGCCTGCAGCAGTACCAGGTGCATTTCTCCTCTGATGCTCTGATTAAAGCTGGAAGCTGCGCTTCTGGTCTGATCTGATGGTTCTTCTCTCACATTGAAGGTGTTTGGGCATCTGAAGAGGCTCGGCTACGTGGTTCACAGATTTGATCTCAGGTAACAGAAGCTGGAGTTTGGTCTTTGTCTCATGGAGGGAACTTTTTGCTGCTTTAAGATGCGATAAATTAATGATAAAACTGGGCCTCTGATTTAAAGGTTTTTAGATGATTAAAGTCAGTTTAGTCATATATATATTTAATGACTTTAAGGGTAATCCAAGCTAATTCTATTCAGTTTATTTCTATAGCGCCAATTCACATCATGTCATCTCAAGGAACTTTCCAGTTCACCAGATCATCCAGTCAGATT